CTTATTTGTTTGATGTTTTGCTAAGGACAAGGCTCTAGAGCAGCAGTTCCTTAGAAAGAAATGGGGAATTAGGCATGTAACCCTACAGTCAATAGCTCAGTTAATCTGCTTCTTTTGGGTTTAGACTATTCTGTGGAAAAACCGTACAGGCAACATCTCTCTCTCTCTGCCTGAACTGCATTTGAACAATCAAGGGCTATTTAAAGTGCTTGATTATGGGTTCTCCATGGATACCTAATACAATTTCTTTTCAGTATGATACGATCATTAGAGTAGGTTTTCACAAAATTGTTTTCACAGAAAAACAGATGGCTTAGGCAAACAGTGGCACAAGTAAAAGGATGTATCATAAAAGCCACCCAAGAGAGGCCAGTTTGATCTGCTCTCACTACATTTATCATAAACAGTAAAACTATTTTGAAAGTTTCTCCTATAAATTGTCCTCACACCCAGCAGACACATGCAAAATTCTATAACGTGTCCACGTTTTCACTCTGATCGTAAAAAATGAAAAACAAAATTGAAAAAATTTACTACATCATTTCATATACAGAAATCTGTGGAACTATGTGTAGCTTTAATGTGGGACAGTGTGTGCAGACAGCCATATGAGCCCTAATCTATAGGTCAATTAAGGAACCATCTATGTAAACCGTTCTGATGAGCCCATCAGAACCATCTGCAAGCTTAAGGTTATCCAGGTGCTTTTCTAGATTTTGGCACTCAGCACTGAAGAACTTTGAAAATAAAATTTAGATCTAGATATTATTATGCAGCTGCACTAGAGTAGCAATTTTTTCTTGAACCCAAAATTTCTAGCAATAGCAATATTTCAACAGTGAGGAAAAAGATAAAGGACGATCCACATGACTTCCTCTCTCCCCACCCTCTCCCTCATTGCTAACTATATAGCAATCTTTCAATTCTCAGTTTTCTTATTTGAATTTCCAATATGACTCAGAAGTAACTCTTTGGTTGTTCACTATACTTCTAGTAAGACGGTTTGATTCCCACTTTCCAAAGAGTGTACAATTGCGCTAATTCTGTTCTCCCCTATCATAAATTTGATTCTTTCATTCTTGTCTTAAATCTTCTCATCTTCAGAGCACTGAATACAGAAACGTGCAAGAAAATACTCCAAGAAATTGAATTATAAGAAGTAATAACTGTTGCACAACTGAGATGTGCCAAAAGGAAAGATGAATATTTTTACCGAGACCATAGTGTGTATCTAAGAAAATGCAATTTAATTATGACCCAAATTCTTCTAATCTTGCACACATTGAACTGTCTTTTATGCTGGGAATAACCCTGTCTGCTGTAACTCTTGTTACTTACCTCATACAGACCAGCATCCTACTCCAGGAGTAAACAGAAACGCTGAAATCAGAGGAGCAACCCATAGAGATACGATTGATTCTGAGCACACGTTAAAAAAGGGTTTCTGCTTCAAGGATGAAATGTCAGCCTCAAGAAAATCAATAAATGTTTTGCAAGTGATGTCAGTAGGGTCAAAACTTCACTCAGAGCATTAGTTCATACAGCAAAACATGCACAACTTTAATACAGTTGCAACCAAGATTGCATTTGAATTATTGATTAGGCAGGCTGTATTTGATGACAAAATGGCAGGTGCCTGAAAGTGCTGAGTGAAAGATGGATATATTTGCAGAGGAAACTGAAAAGACCAAGATGTCCACGTTATAAAAGCTCTAGCAGAAACATCAGAAATCAAATTAAACATATTAACTTACCTGTATAAAGTTTCCATTATTTCTTTCGCTTTAGTTCATACCCATAGAGCTGCTTGGCATTCCACTTGTTTTCAGCACAATTTTTCCTTTGTTTCTAAGTAATGTAGTTGCATTAAATAAAATGTGTTTGTTGGAGGATGTTTCCCTAATTCTTAATTTGATGGGAACAACAGCAATGCCTTTGGCAGTCAAGTCTTCTGTTGTTATAGTGGATCTAACGTTCTCAAAAGCCAAATCTTGCAGACATCTGTTCTTTTCTGATATCTCTTTAGCTTTGCCATTGGGCACAAAACCACTTCAAGTCTTTTATTGTGCTGCTTTTAGTGATTAAGTGCTCTTTTCTCT